GTCCGGGCTGGGGATTCGAACCCGCCACCTTAGGTGTACATGGCTGGCGCCTTAGCCGGTTGAGCTATAGGCGCCGAGCCATAAAGGGCTTTTTATGTGCATATAGTGTTCTGTGCTGGGACAGAACAGGGAGCAAAAGACACAGGCCATGTTTTTACCAGGGTCACCTTTCATGGCAGAGTCTGGCATTAAGCAAATCGACAGTCCAACATGTAATTACTTGTGACATCCCTGCCATGCCACTCAGCATCCCAACCATCTTTTTGTCCTGGCATCTTAGTGTTCCTATGGTGAGGTTGCTGGATGCTCCTGAGAGCTGAGAAGGGGTTGACCAAGCCAGAGCAGCTCCTTGACCCCTGAACTAGTATTGCTCAAAACTCAAACCCAAACCTAGAAAGGAAAAGAAATCCTGGGCTGGGCACAGTGGCTCCTGCCAATAATCCTAGCACTCTGGAAGGCCGAGGCGGTGGATTGCTTGAGCCTAAGAATTCAAGACTAGCCTGAGCAAGAGTGAGACCCCAACTCTAAAAATAGCCAGGCATTGTGGCAGGTGCCTGTAGTTCTAGATACTTGGACGGCTGAGGCAAACTTGAGCCCAAGAGTTTGAGGTTGCTGTGAGCTCTGATGCTAGGGCATTCTACCTGGGCAAGAAAGTGAGATTCTGTCTCAAAAAAAAAAGGAAGAAAGAAAGAAATCTTCAATATAAACACCACCACTCCATTTGCTTCATCTTCTCTGGACTCAGCTTTTCTTTTTGAGGCATTGGGAATTGTCAAATGTTGTAGAAATCTCCTGGGAGACCTAGACTTAATTTAGGTTTGCCCCTGGTGCTGGAGGACTCACCAGTCTTCAACAAATGAAGGTAACACTCTTGGAGATCAATAAGAGTCACCTAGGCTGTTGGCAGCTCCCATACAGGCAGAGTAAAAATTTCAGGAGAAAGTTGTACAAGCATTATAAGAATCTGGACTTTTTTTTCAGATAACTTTAAAATAAATCTCTATTCCATATTTTGGGACAAATACTCTTTAGGATAACAAGTCTTATGGTTTAGCCACTGCAAGTCAATGGGTAACCATAAGACTTGTTGTATGAGTGGATTTGCATGTTCTGACCCACTCACAAATATACTTCAATCTTCAGGGTGACTCAGAGCACAGGCCCAAATTCTGGCCCTAATCAAGCTGCTTAACCTCTCTAAGCCTCAGTTTCTTCTTCTACATATGGAGTTATAGCCATGTTTGGTGGGAGGGGTCTATACCCAGATTCATAAAGCCCAGTGCCTGACACCCAGCCGCTGCCCACCAGGTGCAGGCTATAGTGACGTGGGCTGTTACTATAGCATTCCCATCCTCCATGTTCTTTCCTTCCCTCCCTACGAGGAGTGGGGCACTGCACTGAGTGGCTCTGAGGGGATGGGAGGAGAGCCGTCTGCACCTCCAGGAACTGTACTCGTGGGGCCATGGCAGTGATGGGGACCTCAGATCTGTATTCTGTCTTAGGAAGGTGTGGGGGTGGGCCCAGCCCCCTAACTCTAAGCTTTCACTTGTAGCCCAAATACCAGAACCAAAGAGGAAAAGGAGGAAAAGAAACAGAGTCTTGGCCCAAAGATGGGAGATAATGAGCCTGGATAATGTCTGGGTTCCCACTGGTTCCCACTGGTGCCCCTCACAAATGCTGCTTGGAAAGCCAGTGTTCATCTGAGGCCCTCAGAGTCTAGTTCATCACAGGGAGAATGGCCCCCTGGACTCCCAGGGGCTACATCTACAGGACACCTCCCTCTGTTCCTTTAATGGCAAGGCACCTTCTTACTACCTCAAGCTTCAGGAGGACATGGGAATTTTACTGCTGATGGCTTTCATGACACTTAAAGAATTTGTGTCTCAAACGCTATTAGATGCTCTTGAGAACACACTGGGGCTAAAGCTGTCCTGAAGGACCTCTCCATCTAGCATGGAAGAGAACATAAGAGCATGGCAACTGCAAGGATTGTGCGGCCCCAGCGCTGTGCTGAGGCTTTCTGCGTGTTCTCTCTAGTCCTTACAACGGTTACCATCCCCCCTTTCCTGAGGAAGAAACTGAGGTTCTGAGAGCTGCATTCCCAGGGTCTCCCAGGGCTTGAGGGGGAGCCTGCCCGTGGTCATGTAGCTAGAAAACCCAGGATTGGGGCCCTGGTCTCCTTTTCTGTTTCCTATCCTCTGTAAATGGGGAGGCGCAGTAACAGACACAAGCACCAGAACTGATTTTTAGGAAAAAATGAATGCACTCCCTGTGCCTTGCTGCTGTCATAGAAACAAAAGGACAACCCTGATACCCATTAGGCATCATCTCTCTAGGCACCTGCAGCACTAGCCCCACGAGAGATTTGGACCCCAAGGGAGAGCACCAGATGGCTGATTGGCCTGGTGACTCAGCCTCTCAGAGCTGACAGAGCAGCACCCAGCCTGAATACCGTCTGCTCCAACAGATGGAAGGCTATCATCTGTGGTCATGGTGGCCATCTGTTGGCTGCTGGGAATGATGATCCCCTCCAGGACCTTGCCTGGAGCCCTCTGGGGCCACCTTAGTACAATCAGGATTACCAGGGAAAGGCAATTTGTTTAGGAATCTTGACGGGGCAACTTGTGCCTTTTACTTCCCTAGAACACCAGCCAGAGACTTACGAGCTCATGTCCCCAGCCCTGGGCCTGACACCATGAAGGGAGGGTTGAGGGGGAAACCTTGATCCTTTCAGTTTGGGGAAGGACTCTTGGCATGCTGTTCTCTGTGTGGAGTAGGGGCCTTCATCTCCATTATAATTATGAGAAATGTGAAGTTCAGTGAAGTGGCCAGCCTGAGGCCACCCTCTTAGATATACCACTGCAGATCGAGAATGGGAACTGAGGCCTGTGTGACTCCAAAGCCAGAGCTCATCTGCCTGACCCCCTTTGGGCCGACTGACTTAGATTTTAGTTAGTGATTAAAGTACTTAAAAATGATAAAGGGTTAATTTTTAAAAGATGATTTATTGGCTTTTAAATTTTTAAATAAAACAACAGCTTATAACCAGGTATCAAAATCTGAGACAAGCCAAACAACAATTTGACTCAGAAGTATTAAAATAGCACTTGGTCAGCTCGTATTTTTAAGAATTGGTCCTAAGGCATTGCTTCTGAATGTGGAAGTTGGAAACAACCTAGATTTCCGTCCTTGGGGGCTTGAGATTAAGGGAAATGTGGCATATCTACACCCGGAGTACTTCTGAGAAGTGACAGTGTGGCTTGACATTAACTTAAATGGAGAGATTCTATAACAGATCATAAACACAAAAGTGGTCTCAAAAACTTGGTGTTTTGGCTTTCCTTTTTGTTTTTCATGTTTCTATATGGCATGTGTATGTATGTATAGAAAAGCACCCAGCTTCTAATATCATGGGCATAAACCTGGCATGTTATGCCTTTAGCCAGTTAGACAACAATTACAGGAAAAAGCCATCCATCTTTAATCTCTAATCCTGCTCTCGTTGTGCTTCTGCTAATATCCACCCATCAGAATCCTAACAAACATGTCAACGTATTTTTTTAAAGGTGAGAATTTTTAGAGACTAATGGATTTAGAGGCTAATGGATTTAGAGGCTAATGGATTCAGTGTATATCTGGGCTACATGCATTTTATTTTATTTTCATTTTTTAATGTTTTTCCCTGCTTTTTGCAATTCTTCCAAGCAAGTTATATGCATTTTAAAAGTCTCTAAGACTATATTGGCGGTTAATGTTGGTTCTAAGTGGTGGTCTTACATTTTTTCGTGCAGTCAGAAAGTTTTATAAGAGGTATGAATTTTTTACAATTAGAAAAAAAGCAACATAGGTATTTCTAGTATTTAAGAAAAGTTGTTCGTTAAGAAGGGGTTTTTTGCATTAATTTTGATTTTTAAAAAATGTTGTATGACTATTTGATTACTGTCATTTTTGGCACCTTTTAAATTTTGTTTTTAATTGTGGTTAAAAAAAACATAAAATTGACCATTTTAACAGGTTTTAACTATGTGGATCAGTAGTGTTATATTTTTTTCACATTGCTGTGCAGCAGATCTCCCGAACTTTTTCATTTTGCAAACTGAAACAGGAACTCCCCATTGCCCTCCC